CTGTGGAGTAGTTACCTGCCTGTGGAGTAGTTAGTTACCTGTGGAGTAGTTAGTTACCTGTCTGTGGAGTAGTTACCTGCCTGTGGAGTAGTTAGTTACCTGTCTGTGGAGTAGTTACCTGTCTGTGGAGTAGTTACCTGTCTGTGGAGTGGTTAGTTACCTGTCTGTGGAGTAGTTACCTGTCTGTGGAGTAGTTACTTGCCTGTGGAGTACTTAGTTACCTGCCCCTGGAGTAGTTACTTGCCTGTGGAGTAGTTAGTTACCTGCCTGTGGAGTAGTTAGTTACCTGCCTGTGGAGTAGTTACCTGCCTGTGGAGTAGTTACCTGCCTGTGGAGTAGTTAGTTACCCGTCTGTGGAGTAGTTACCTGCCTGTGGAGTAGTTACTTGCCTGTGGAGTAGTTACCTGTCTGTGGAGTAGTTACCTGCCTGTGGAGTAGTTAGTTACCTGCCTGTGGAGTAGTTACCTGCCTGTGGAGTAGTTAGTTACCTGTCTGTGGAGTAGTTACCTGCCTGTGGAGTAGTTAGTTACCTGTCTGTGGAGTAGTTACCCGTCTGTGGAGTAGTTACCTGTCTGTGGAGCCAGGCTTCACTTTCATCCTCGTGTTTCTGAAATGAAATAAGAGCTTCAGAGAAAGGGCTCTGGGCGGTGCTGTGTCCGCGGCCCGCGGGGCAGCACCAGTTTGCTCCCCGTGTGGTGGCTGCAGCGGCCCAGACAGGCCTGGGGCCACCGCTCGCGAGGAGACGTCCCGGCCCTCTGCTTTGTCTGTACTGTGGCTCAGAGCCAAACCCACCTGTCCCCGAACAAGAAAAATGTCACTCTCCCCAGCAGTGAGGACAAATCCATGGCAGGCAGGAATCCTTAGGAAGATGGGGCACTTTTACCATTCGATGGTCACCCCTGACTGGCCACGTGCCCATCAGAGGGTCAGCACGGACCAGGCCCATGTCCATTTACAGGCAAACCTCAGGTGCTTCTTTTAGAAATGTGTGTGTGTGCGCGTGCGTGCATATGGGGACATATGTCAACTCTGAGTAACAGTCCCTGTAGACCAAACATTAGGAGGGGTTTAAAAAATATATGAAAAGTAGGTCTCACAGAACTGTGTGGAACACCCGTAACAGACGATCAGACCAAACAAACCCCCAACCCCCAGGCACAGCGACTGAGCACAATGACCAGGCCTCCAGGGGCCCCAGGGTGCTTGCCGGCCAGGTAGTTTCTGTTGCTGACACTCCCAACTTCAAGGACACAGGTAAGACAATTACAAGCAATTCCCAGCCTCCTAGCCGGGTGTCCATCTTTCCTTCTTTCTCCTCAAGCGAGCCCATCAGAATAACCTGGATTTGCTCTAAATTACGTGCAAAAACCCAGGTAAACCACAGGCCCGGTGGAGGCCCTCAGTCCCGGCAACAGACCACAACGGCTCGCTTAGGCGGCTAGTGGCAGCTGCTGCTTGGCGGCTCCCGAGTCCCAACGGAACGGCTTTGTCAGCCTTTTCTCTCTTCAGTTGGGAAATGAAAGTTCAGGGTCAAAAAAGAGCGCCTGTGCCCGACCTGTGTGGCTCAGCGGTTGAGCATCGACCTATGAACCAGGAGGTCACCCGTCGATTCCCGGTCAGGGCACAGGCCCGGGTTGCGGGCTTGATCCCCAGCGGGGCCTGCAGGAGGCAGCCGATCAATGTTCCTCTCTCATCATTGATGTTTCTCTCTCTCCCTCTCCCTTCCTCTCTCTGAAATCAATACAAACATATTTAAAAAATTTAAAAAATAAAAGTGCGCACAGCTGGGAGGCACTGAACGAACAAGCCCCGTGTTTCTGATAGTACTTCAGTCACCCAGCAGGTGGCACCAAAGCAGAGACCTGGACGCAGGCGTCACCGTCACCAGCCTGAAGCTGAGCCCTTTGCCTGCAGCCACCAAGCCCAAAGGGCTCAGAGGTGGCCTTGGTGATGCCCCCGGTGCCTCCTGCCGCCGGTCTCGTCCCTGCCCCGTCCGTACCTTGGTGCAGACCCCGGTGGTGGCGTCGCAGAGGGTGAGGATGGACACGTTCTGCGCCCGGCTCAGCCAGTTCACGGCAACCTTGGTGCTGGTGGCCCATTTCACCATGGTGATGTAGTACTCCCTGAAAACACACGGGCGCACGGGATGAGCGGCTCGTCCCAGAGCTGGACGCCGGGGCTCACGGCNTGGGGCTCACGGCAGGAGCCACGGGGACCAGGACGGCTCGTCCCAGCCCTGGACGCCGGAGCTCACGGCAGGAACCACGGGGACCAGGATGGCTCGTCCCAGCCCTGGATGCCGGGGCTCACGGCAGGAACCACGGGGACCAGGACGGCTCGTCCCAGAGCTGGACGCCGGGGCTCACGGCAGGAACCACGGGGACCAGGACGGCTCGTCCCAGCCCTGGATGCCGGGGCTCACGGCAGGAGCCACGGGGACCAGGACGGCTCCTCCCAGCCCTGGATGCCGGGGCCCGCACTGGAGCATGCCCAGGGAGGGGATGGGGTCACAGACGCCAGTGGGGAGCCCCCGCCCGTGGGAGGAAGGCTCTGCTCTCCCTTCCCCTCTCCTGCAAAGACAAAACGCCCAGACACGTCCTCCAGCTAATCCGGGAAACCGGTTCCCAAAACGCCACGGGGCCCTGTGCTGAAGTTAGCGGGAGGGGCACCGGGCGTCGGGTAATTAATTCAGCCACTCGGAGCCCTGAGACACTGGGGTTTTGTTTGAGGGGAAAAAACAGTACATTTAAAAGAAAGAAGGAAGTGTCAAGAAAATAAATGCACACGGAGGACACCCTCAGGTGAACTCAGAGAACGTTCTAGAGACCAGCTAACGCCTCCAGACCCAGGACACAGGCAGCTGGGCCTCCAGGTTGGCCCCAACCACGTGGGAGGGACACTGGGGGGGGGGCTGGCAAAGGCCCCCGTCTATCAAGTGCAGAAATCAAAGAGGTTCCCGAGCCCCGTGGGGCTGGGTGGGGGCTGCTTCCCCGGGACAGGGGCCTCCACGCCGAGGGCTGTTCAGAGGCAACGAGCGTGAAGACCACGAGCACCCACCTCCTCCAGCCGAGAAGCTGGGGGTGGGCACACAGCCTGCTTCTCCGTGGGGAGCTCTCCGGGGTCCCTGACATACCCGAGAACTGTGACAACGGGCAGAAGAGACTCCCCAGGCCCTGCGCCCTCCAGGGCCACGGTCAGCTTTCCTTCCTTTGCCCCTTTCCCGCGCCTGCGATCGGCACCCCTGTTCCTGAGGACCCTCTGCTAGCAGGGCAGGGAGCGCCTTGAGGTACAGAGCAAAGGGCACCTCTCTCACGCGTCCCACCCAGTGCCCAGGCCGGGGACCCGCAGAGAAACCTACGGAACACTCGAGAACAAGGCGAGAGGGGGCGGGACTGACCGGGCGGGGGGCAGAGGGTCGTGGGAGTGAGGAGAGCACAGCGCAGACGGAGGGGACAGTAATGAGAGGAGGCCACCCCCGGGAGGTGCTGATGTCGCCAACACAGAGGGGAAGCAGAGTGTCCCCCTCTGGGTCCAGGTGTGGGGACTGGGCCGGGCTGTCCTGTGGCTTCTCCACGGAGCCTGTTGGTTGTCAGCACAGGTGATAAACCCGGGGTCACACAGTGACGTCACTGTGACTATTCTGTCTTTTCTCAGCTGCCTAAAGGAGCAGAGCAGGGATGGGGTCCTTGCCATGGGCCCCGTGTGTCCTGGCCTGGGGGTTGGCAATTCACTGTCCCCCTCACTCAGGGAGGCAGGGCCACCCACAAAAAGAGCAGCAATCAGCAGTGACTGTGTTGGGTGCATGCGGGACATCAGCCGAAGATGTCACCACAGGAGAGGGCAGCCTTAGAAACAGTGTTTAATTAACCTTAACCCTAATCTTAAACCCTAATCCTAACTTTAACGCTAATCTAACTTTAACCCTAACCCTAACCTAACCCTAAACCCCAACCCTAACCCCTAACCCTAACCCTAACCCTAACGCTAAATCCTAACCTAACCCTAACCTAACCCTAACCTTATCCCTAACCCTAAACTAACCCTAACACTAAACCCTAACCTAACCCTAACCTAACCCTAACCTTAACCCTAACACTAAACCATAACCTAACCCTAACCTAACCCTAACCCTAACCTAACCCTAACCCTAACCTAACCCTAACCCTAATAAACCCTAACCTAACCCTAACCTAACCCTAACCTTAACCCTAACACTAAACCCTAACCCTAACCTTAACCGTAACCTAACTCTAACCTTAACCCTAACACTAAACCATAACCTAACCCTAACCTAACCCTAACCCTAACCTAACCCTAACCTAACCCTAGCCTAACCCTAACCCAGCNAAACCCCAACCCTAACCCCTAACCCTAACCCTAACCCTAACGCTAAATCCTAACCTAACCCTAACCTAACCCTAACCTTATCCCTAACCCTAAACTAACCCTAACACTAAACCCTAACCTAACCCTAACCTAACCCTAACCTTAACCCTAACACTAAACCATAACCTAACCCTAACCTAACCCTAACCCTAACCTAACCCTAACCCTAACCTAACCCTAACCCTAATAAACCCTAACCTAACCCTAACCTAACCCTAACCTTAACCCTAACACTAAACCCTAACCCTAACCTTAACCGTAACCTAACTCTAACCTTAACCCTAACACTAAACCATAACCTAACCCTAACCTAACCCTAACCCTAACCTAACCCTAACCTAACCCTAGCCTAACCCTAACCCAGCCCTAACCCTAACCCTAACCTTAACCCAAACACTAAACCCTAACACTAATCTTAACCGTAACCTAACTCTAACCTAACCCTAACCTAACTCTAACCTAACCCTAACCTAACCCTAACCTAACTAACTTCCCGCCCTGGCAATAAGCCCTAACCCTAACCCTAACCCTAACCTAACCCTAACCTCCCGCCCCGGCAATAAGCCCTAACCCTAACCCTAACCCTAACCCTAACCCTAACCCTAACCCTAACCCTAACCTACAGTATGACCCAGACCTGCAGCACCTGGCAAGCGCTGGGAATACAGATGCTCAGGCCTCGCCCCAGACCTGCTGAATCTGAAACTCAGGGTGGGGCTGGGACCCCAGGTGACAGGGCGACGCTCAGGTGTGAGCCTCAGAGAACAGGCCCACGTGCCGTTTAACCACAGGCCCTTCGGTCCGCCTCCCCCTCCCCCTCGGCCTCGGCCCACACCCACGGTTCCGCGTGAATGGAGGCGTCGGGGGTGGGGG